GTGGTTTGGGAAGCAACCACATGTTTGCAAGTGCACAAATGCACTGCGAAGCCATCACTAACAAATACACATAGGTGGGAAATTTTGACCCCAAATTAGTGTCTTCTCCAGCACTGAAAAATCAGACTGTTCCTCAGGTCCCTCAGGAACTGGTTCTAGAAGAGCAGGCCAGTAAATCTTGCCATTTTTGGTAGGTTGTAATAGTAGTAGTGATGGGTATCACAGATGCCTGGCCAAGCCCGTGGTCCTGACCACAGCACCCCAGTACTACTTCAAGATCTACTTCAACTACTTCAACAATTTCAACTTTTGCCATCAGAGAGTGGCTCCATTTCTTTGGCTCTTGTTAAAGTTTCAGCACCAGAAAACCCTGTTTGGTGATTACAGGTCTGGCAGCAGGAATCCCCTGTCCCTTATTCCCAACCTGTCAAGGGGTCTGATCAGTTCAGTGTTGAGAGTGTTGGTGCAGCACCTCCTCCCCTGGGGACCTTCTGGAGCTATCCACCAGTAAACAGATAGAGGGAAAAGAGAATCAGTGTTGGCACCCATTAAACCTGACTCTGGAGTAGTTCTGTCCAAATTTCCAGGAACTCAAACAAGGAATGTATCTGTACCTCCCTTCAGCAAGCAGACACCTCCCAAGGGAAATCATGGGCCAGTTGCACTCTTCTAGCCTTGAGGACAAAGCCACCCATCCTTCCGGAGAGGTCCACGTGGGAACTGGTAGGCTTTGATGATATGAGCAAGTGTCCACCAAAACACACTTCCCAGAGCATCCATGGCACATACACCTCCAAACAGCTTTCATGGCCATGGGTCAGCCCACATGTAATTCCCAGTGACATCACACCAGTGCCCCTGGGGCTTCCAGAGGCAATATTCCAAATGGTGACGTTGCATCACTGTCACAGATCCATTCACTGGAAGGTAACTAAAAACCCCCAAAGCAACTGATTTGCTTAAATACTCCTAAACCACCACATCCACTCTGAGTGAATGAGCACCTTCAGACCAGGGGTGTAGCAATGCACACACAGTGCAACACAAAGGTGAGCTGCATGTGAGGAACCAAAATCATTACTGCCTTTTTCATTCACTCTGTTTAACTGAGAGTCGTTGAGGCAACCACAAAAAAAGACTAATGGACAAAAAGGGAGGAAATTACGTGAAGGGCCAAGCTGCACCAATTCTAATGAGCGCACAAGAAAAGGCAAACAACACCAAGAATTACTTTTGGGGGTATCTAAGGACACTAGAACCTCAGACTGCATTATTAAAACTTCACTGTGGTGAAGACCTCCATAATGATTCTGAGCAGAAGGATTTCTGGGCCAGTCTAAGATGATTAATTGCTTGTGACACCTCCAGAAACTTGAGACACTCCATGTAGCACAAAAGGAAATTCAGATTCCCTGCAGCATCACGGGCATATGCTGTACATCCTGGCAGTACAGTGGCTCAGGGAGCTCACTTTATTTGTGTAGTCCCCAGGGTGCTGGGAAAGATGGCAGGCAAGGGGTTAAGTAGTGGCACTGAGGTTTCTGGAAGGGAAAGACATGCCTCATTAACCAGCTGGAATTCATCGAGGATATGAACACCAGGGTGGACATGGGAAAGGCAGCAAACACCATATTACTGAGATTTTCAGGGTACATTGAACACAGGTCTGCAAAAGAGGTCAGTGCTGATGGGCCAAATGATAGTGGGAGGGGAAAACAGCCCTGAGAAGTCAGGGGTAATGGGGAGTGAGTAGGAGAGCAGAGTGGGTATCTGACTGGAATAACTTTCCTCTCTACCATCTCTCCACGCACAGCTGTGACTCCTGTCCCAGTCCCATCTGTCCCACCAGACAGTAAATGCTTTGAAATCCTGACCCATTACTCGCATGTGTTCAGCTTCTCCCAGGAGGATGACCCACAATTTCCAACCCACCACATTCTTTTCCAAAGCCAACATGGTACAAGCTATTAAACTGCATGATTCTGTGGCTGCTAATCCAAGTACCCTGTAACTTGTAGAGGTGAGAAAGTATCGAGCACAGGCATTTTACTTCTCAAGGCTCATTTGCCCCAAGACTGCAGCCCAGTAGATGATACATGGCAACTGCAATCCTGACTCTTTTAAATACAATGTCATGTGCTTCCCCTTATTATCAACTGTCCAAGCAACTCAGAGTCCATAACTACTCTGTTACCCTTGGTTATAGAATCTAAACTTAAACTGAGGCATAAAGAACAGATTCACATGGAAAATTACCTCAGCATCTTTTTATCCAAAAGGTCACTGATTAAGAAATTCATTCATGAAACAGGACAAATTTATTTCAACTCCTTTATCTGTCTCAGGGAATTTGAATAATGTTATTCTGGAAATAATATTTCACTTTAATGTAAAATATTAGGTAAGCATGGAAGTAAGACAGAAGAGCTATGCATAATCTCCTACAAGAGAGATTCACATTAGGCTAATAGGAAAGCATTTATTCTCTGCTCTCTGGCTCTATGAGTGTTTTAATACTTCATATGACATGGTGAGTACAACACAAAAGATGGAAACTGGACAGCTTCAAACCTCTGTAAGCTTAAAATACTTTTTTTGTGGGTAAGATATACAGATTTGACCCTGCCCTCAGTGAATCCAGCTCTTCTATACTCCAGGTGACTGATTTTGCTCCACTGATAGATCTAAAGGCAAACCACCAACTCCTGCCCCATAAATTTGTGTTTTGTCCACCAGACAAACTATTCAGTACTTTGGGAGAAATCCAGAAATAGTTACAGAATGACTTAAAGTCTTTTATTTTGCTCAAAGGATTGCACTTTTTCTGTTTTCTTCCAAGTATTCTTAGAAATGTTCATCCTTGAGAACAAAAACAGGAGCCAGAAGGTACATGAAGGTATTGCATGTGCCATGAAGGCAGTGAGACTACTTGTGTTACATCTTCTTACCTAGGGCAAGGTTGGGATGGGCTTGTCTGCTCAGCTCTGCTCCTTTGTATTGCAGACTTCATCTGGAAGATTTACAGCAGCACTAGCAATGCTAAGGGAGAACTGCTCATCCATTTGTAACTCAAGTTCTGTTGTGATTTACATTTGAAGCAGGTATTTTAATCCCTCATATGTGCATCAGGTATATATATATGTGTATCAGATTTACCACTGTTGCTCTTTCCTGTAGTCAAAAAAAAAGAAAAAATCCTTTGGGAAAATCATACCATAAATCCATTCATTTATAACATTTTTAAAATCAGTTTTGCAAGCTATCTCCCAGGACACAGCACTCTAAATCTGAAAATATGCTGTCCTGTAATCACCAAGGCTGAGGGACTGTATGGCTATAGGGGAAAACACATGGCCAAAACTGACCTCACCCCATCATTTTGCTCCTCAACACCTTCAGCAGAGTATGATCAACATTCCAGCTAAAGCACCTGGTGATGGGAATCACGGGCTTGGGACCTGACTCCTGCTTTATTTCTAAATATTAGCTGCAAAATTACATCCTAGTTCAGTACAGATTATTTCCATTTGAATCATCAGGGGACCAGGACCAGGAATTGCCCTGCAGTGCTAGAATTGCCTTCCCAAGTGAAGCCACTTCTCACCTGCCAGCCTGACCTCTGACATTACCAGTACCACTAGATGCAGTTACTCAACTTTGCTCTCACCCTGCAAGACCCAGAAGCAGTAGTTGTGGGCACTTCAGATGCAGCCCCATGGTGACCCCAAGGAGTGCCAAGAAGGCCCCTGGTGCCAGGGATCAGTTCCACCACACAGCTGTTTGTCACAGCACCTGAACCATTACAGCCCCACTCGAACATCCTCAGTCATTTTGTGGTCAGATCTCTCTTTAACACTCAGGAAAAGCTGTGGGTAGTCAGAGCTTTTGGTATTTATTTGCATTGTCAGCATTTGGTGAACCCTTAATATATATATGTTATATACATAACCCTTAAAATGCCTAAATGAGAGAGGAGCAAACCCAAAGCCATGAAGGTGACAGCAGTGTCATACAAGTGTGAAAACAGCAAGTTCTATGACTGAAGTGATGTGAACTGGCGCCTGGGAACAAGCAGGGTGGTAATATCACATGGAATGCTCCATGGGACAACTGAGGAAGCACTAAAACATTGGACCTTTTCTTGCATATGAGGGGTGCTTTTTGTTTGTTTAGCATTTGTTTCTGGCCCAGGTATGATTTGAGTCTTGGGGATAGGTAGGCTTTGGGGTGGCCCCTTGAGAACCACCACACTGCTCAGCTACTCCTGCCCCATGTGAACCACAAAAGCAGACTGATGGGCTGCAGCCAAAGAAAAAAAATGCCTTCAGGTTCCAGCTTGCAGAAAACATCAGGCTTTATTGCTTGTAGAGGTCTGCTACTATTCCAAAGCTTCTCCCTCAAGCAGCACTTGTGCTGAAACTGAGGATCCAAATTCAAACCCACTGAAGCAAACCAGAGTTTATTTAGCATTTATTACCCATTTTGTTGTCATATGTGGCTTCTTCCGTCTTGATTTTTCCTCTGGTAAAGACAGACATTTTATTTTTTTTATTTTTTTTAATAAAATATATAAAACATTGTGCATTGCTATCCATAGGAAAACTGTAGTTTAACAACAACAACAACAACAACAACAAAAGAATAAGGCACATTGCTGTGCAGCATCTTCATATATATATATATATATATTAAAACAAAACAAAAAGAAAAACTTTTTCAACCTCTTTGAGGTTGTTAACTTCTCACCAGTCACTGACACATCTCTTATATTACCATAATTTCACTGTTGGAGGTGGACTGGGTTGTGTTTGACAGGGGCCAGCAGGGAGAACAGACTCAAAAAAATAATAGGATTTTATCCCTGAGGTGTCAGTAAAAAAACTAAATGTTCCCATTGAAAAGGAAGATGAAAAGACAGCCATAAATAACTGAATACACTATGGCGAACATCCAAGCACCGAGATGATTTCATGATGGAAGAATTCCCCTCCCCCCCATCGCCCAGTTCTTAACAAGTCATATTTGCTGTTGGGTTTTAATCGGGTTAATCTCATGGCTTCTGAAGTCACAAGACAATCCATCAGGATGCACTTCCCCCTCCCTCCTCAAATCATCTTTCCAGATTTGGCATTTTGTTCACAATGCTCCCACAGTCCTCAGGAAAGGGAAACCAAAAAAATCCTTAATGAAGGCCAACTCCTGGGAGACTTCTCTCCTCAGCCAAGAGAGGAGCACTCGTATTGCAGCGTGCCAAACACCATATCCCATGTGGGAGGACTGTAATTGTCACCTTCCTGCCTGCTACTAAGAAATGAAGTTGGCAACCACCTCTGTTGAAACCAGAAAGTGTCCGTGAAGAGGGGTGATAGCAACATGTAAGGGAGAAGGAGAGGGGGAAAGCTTTATTACTGTCCATCCACACCGCTCTAGGTGGCACACCTGTTAGGAAAAAGGGAGACACCCACATAATATTCCTTCCTCCCCTCTCCTCTATCATGTGTGGAGCAGCCCCAGGGTGCAGGGCAGGACGGCTGGACTCCCAATCACTTCAGTAGTAGCGGTTGAGGCTCCTGGTCCCTGGGATGTCGGGCTGGCCGTTCATCCAGATCTCCCGGATGATGCGCTCCCGCTCCTCCAGCCGCTGCGCCCGCTCCAGCTCCTCTGCCGAAGTGAAGACGTTCATGTTCAAAGTCCTCTCGAACCTGCGGTGCCTGCGGGCGGACAGGTCCGAGGTGGTGTCCGAATCGTCGTCGCTGTCACTGCTGTCGCTGTCGCTCTCCCGCTCCCGAGGAGGCTTTTTGGAGGAGGAGCTTTTGCAGTCCGTCCGGCAGGACACCCTGAGCACCAGGGCCAGCAGGGTCAGGACAAGTCCAATGCACACTCCGGAGACAAAATACAGAGCAGCCCGCTCAGGGTTTTCTGGCAGGAGAAAGGAATTGGTGGTCAAGAACAACTCTCAAAAGAACAGAGCACACACAGCCTCTCCATGCACACACCATGCAGGGTCTCTGGAGGGGCAGAGTTTCCACTGGCTGTTTTTACGTCCATGCCTTCCTTTGCCTCCTCCCCCCGAGGGAATTAGGAAGGAGAATTTAAACTGTGGATTTGCTGCCAAGGCATTTGCCCACATGCAGAATGTGGGTTTTGCTGCAGCCATGTCTTGGAGTTGTCTGGAAGGCAAAAGAGCAGCCCACGGAATTAAAAGCTATTTCTCACGGGGTTTTTGCCAGCATGCTACACTCCCAGCAGCAGGTAAGTGCATCTTGCTGTCACATCCACTATCTTCATAACAGGCATAAAGATGATTACAAAACTTTATATGCTCTCTGTGCTGTGGCCCAGCTGAAGTGGGAGGCTTGGCAGCATGGAAAAAATGCATATTATTTATTCATAGGTTTCATTTGCTTATCTAAGGCAAGTGTGCTGGCTTCCTGCCCAGACCACCAAAATGTATACCTGTGCTCCACGGGCATAGCTGGAGTCAGTGCACTAACAGGATGAATGCTGCACAGCCACATTTCTGAGGTGATATAACAGGACTCCAAAGGATCCACAGTGCCTTTCAAACTAGGCCATCTTGTTTATTTACCACATTCTTTTCTTTTTTTTTCCATGGGACTACTTGGAAGTGTAATTATGATAAATGTTGTAACTGCAATTCCCCTGGGCTGAATCACCTTTTTTATAGGCACGCTAAATGGGTAAAGGTGAACCCAGCAGAAGTGCCAAGGCCAGCTCTATTCTGCAGTGTCTGTTGGGTGTCCTGCACTGAAGGATGGAATCAGTTCCCCAGATGAGTCTTATTCCCTTGAACTGAGTGATGGATCTGTAACAGCTCCCACCAGCTGAGAGCCTGACATTTGGCCTCAAAAGATCTCTGTGGCTAAAAGACTTTACTTTTACTTCCTCCCACTGTGTTTTTAAAAGCGGTCCTTTATCCAGCTGGTCTCCTTAAAGCAAAGTTTGCAGAAGGTGAACTGGAAACTATTTAAAGGTGTTCAAAAATCAACAGGACAAAACCCTGCTCTAATTTCAAAGCTGGCTCTAAATCTGAAGTTAGTCATGTTCTGAGCAGGAGGTTGGACCGGAAGACTCACAGAGGCCTCTTCCAACCTAAATTATTCTCTAATTTTGCGGTCAGAACCCAAACACTGTTTCATGCACTGTTCAAGGCAGCGTGTAGTTTGGTGCCTGGATATGCTCATAGAACAGTTACAGAGACAAAACACCTTTGTGCTCTTCACTTCTCTCTCAAATGAATCTCAAAGGTGACTGACAAGCCAAGGTGGAGGAAGATGTCAAGATAGTCTGAGAATTGGCTAATAAAACATTAAACTGATGGTTGACATGGATGACATGGGGAAAAAATCAAGCTGAGAGGGAGCAAAAAAAAGGAGGAAAGTGCAGCATACACCTTCAGTAAGCCTAAAAAGAGAAAGATGTGGACCAGCTTCCTGCAAACTCTGCTGTGACACAACAAACAGGGCACTAAACTGAATGTACCAGTGGGCTCATGAAGGGGAGGATGAAACTAGGCGATCTTTAAGGTTCATTCCAAGCATTCTATAAAATGCAGCAGTAGTTAGCTGGAAATCCAAGTGAGACCAAAACCAAAGGCTTTAAAGTGAGATATTTTGACAAAAGTGAGACAGCCAAAATCCAAAGGTAAAAGAGAAGATACCAGAGCAGGCATGAAGGATATGCCAATGACCCCTGTAGCAGCCTGGCAAATGAAATCCTTGCTCCAATGAAGCTAATGGCTACTGTGAACTCAGGGGACAGGACTCAAATTAGAACTTCAGCCTCATTTGTGCAGTAGCAAAGCTGCTGCTGTTGCTGCCCATCTGGTCTTGTGTGAACAGTGAAGAAGTGCCTTAAATTTCAGAGATTTGGAAACTCCAGGGAAAGCAGAATCATGCCTGAAGAGACTTTTACCTCCATGTGCAATGTAACTGAGGACACTAATCACTAAGGTCCTTTTGCAAGTAGCCCTAAGGAGGGCTCTGGGGACACCTGGAGCGTGGGAGTGTGAGAAGAGCCAACAGGCAGGATTGATGTGTTCATATTAGAAGGCACTGGGTCCAGCCTGTCTCAGCTCCGCCTGGCTGACAGGACACCAGGCACACTTTCCTGAGCACCACATTCAGCACACACATGGGCTTGATTTGGTTGCATTAGTTCCACTGCTTGTTCCTTTAAAGCAGCTCATAAAAAAGACATGGATGGGAGCCTGAGACACAGACACATGCGGTTTCTGTGCCCCCGTTTTTGCCCATGTCCTGCTTTTCCTTTCTCCTCCGCGCTCTCTTTTTCCATGCTACTGTATGCAGCTTATGAGCAAAATGCACTTTGATTGCTACTTAAGTAACCATCTTTCATCCCCTGCTCGTGCTTGTACGTACAGCCCTTCATGCAGTGCGATGGCTGTAATTGAATCTTTGGGCTCCAGTGGCATTTATGAGCTCCTACAGCTACTCTGTCAATATCTGAGACACTGTCTGGACTTCCTCACGGAGCTATAACCTTACGTTCAACCGCAGTCTTGGCATTCATCATACTTACACTCCACTTGCACAGCAGTAGCATCTTTTTTTTTTTTCACAGCAGAAAGAGCAACTTAAACTAAAAACCATGAGCTCACTCTGCTTTTTCTCAGTTGAAGTCACCAAGTCAGCAACAGCCTAGATTTAGAGGTTTGACGGTCCATAAGTGATTTTGAGAGCCTCCCCAATGGCATGTTCTACTTGCAAAGACCAAAGAGGGGCACCCTCTTCAGCAAATGGATGCTCAGCATCTTCCAAAAGCTCAAAAGTGGATCAGATGCATCATATCAACACTGAAGCTCCTCAAAACACTCATTATACTTGAAAAAAGTTCTTTAAAACTGTGTGGACATCAGTAGCAGGAATTAATATAATTCTGATATGCATTCATGTGAATGTGTGTGTGTGTACACTCACTAACACATAGATTTTAACCAGTGTAGCTTTTTCTTCCACTGCTGTCGATGACAACTGAGAGCTTTTAGCAGACCCCAGTTGCCATCAGTTTCTTTAGCTGGGGATATCTTTCCCCTTCCTTGTCTTTCCTTTTCTTGGTTGAATGCATTGATGAAAATGTCAGTGATTCAAGCCTGAATTTAATCCATGCAGACAAATATATATGGTCTATGTAACCCTCCATACAAAAACCACCGTTTTCTAGGGACTCAAACTGGCCAAAAATTAGAAACACATTTTATTTTATTTTTCCAACCAAACCAGCAGCAATTACGGAGCCTATTTCCTGAGGGCTAACAATCTGCTGGGAGCATCAGCCCAGACTCTCATTAATTCCCCAGGAAATGCCACAGGCCAAGGTTGTTATTGCTATTATAATAAATTGTTTCAATAAATAAAAAACAATCTAGGCATTAACGCTGCTGGCTTTCTGTGATGGCTTCATGCATTCTGAAACCTCAGTGGGGAGGAAAATTTCAGAGGGCCCCCAGTAAAAGGTGCAGCATCAAACATGGCCAGACAAACAGTAGGAGCAGTATCTTCTAGGGAATTTACTGTTAGCCCCACAGGCTACCAAAATACCCTTGTGGAACAGAAGAAACTCTCCAGGAGCCCCTTATTAATAAGACTCAGGTCAAGAAGTCTAAAAGTTGGAATGATATCCCCTGGGTTGTATTTTGGAAGCCCCTTGTTAATACCTTGGCAGCAAAGCTTTGCTTATGGAAGAAGAATAAAACAGGGATTTGTGGAGGTTTCCCTCCAACCACTTCATCCTGAGTGCAATAACAAAACTGGAATAAGTCCCTTGCCCGAAAAGGAGGCACTGGAAGAGCTCTGATACAATTTGAATGTTTAATATTTATATAAGCACGAGGGACGGTTCTGCTCCTGCTGATAGACTGTGACTGCAAAGACAGTTCCAGCTGTCACTGAGGCTGGTGAAGTCTTTCCAAACACTCAGGCAAGTTTTGGAACAGGTCCACAACAAATAACAGGTCTGAGGTTTGTAGGCAGAGATTGCATCTAGTTAAAAACCTAATTCTATAAAGAAAATCAGCTTTCCAATTAAGTGTATGTCTGAGTCTTGTGCAAGACTGAACTCTAAATAATGTCTATCTGTTTGATCAGCTACTAAATTCACTCCTTATTGATGTTGTTGACACTTTCTCCCTGTTTCTGAAGAAATAGATTCTGGAAGCTGCGATAAGACTAACACCTAACTGGCTTTGATACCTAACCATGATGAGAGCTACAAATCAAGATTCCTGCAAGGAAGTTTTGCTTCCTGCTGTGCTGTGATTTTTACTACTCAGTTGTCCATATGAACATTCCCAACATTTATATGGGAACATCAGTCAAAAAGATGGTGGAAATGAGCAGGGAGGCTTTCACCAGTACTGGCACTTCTCCCCTCTGTGCACCACAAGACTCTGCATGTGTAAGTGACCAAGCCTGCAGACTCCTCATCTGCAGCTGCCCACCCAGAACTGCCATTATGTGTTGAAAATGTGGACAGCACTGAGCACAGAAGTGATCCCACTACTTGTGGATGCTGTCCTCAGGCCAAGAGACACCCCAGTGCCAGGAGGCAGGAAAAGTAGCAGAGTGGATCATCCTTTCAAGCATTCACTTCACCTATGAAATAGCCCAAGCCCATAGCCTCTTTTTCCTGCAGTGGGTTTGAGGGTATATATCTGACCCTCTGCCACAAGAGAAAAAACATTTTTCTGTGTTGCCCCTGCCCATTTACAATTTTCTTCTGCAAGTTCCTGTTTTGAGCCAACTCACCAGCACAGGGAAGCCCTGAATGCAGCACTTTCAGTGTGCAGAGAGTACCAGAGGGATGTTTTCAGTGTCATGAAACAGAGCAGTTCTTGCACTACTGTTTCTCTTTGGCACCAAGGCCATGGTCAGGAGGAGTGAGAGGATGTGTGACCCAGAACCAGCCCCCCCTGGCTGCTGAAATTCTGCCTCTCCTGAGCAGTCACTATAATGGATCCTCTAGGGACATCAACAGCCATTGTGGCTTGAGCTGCCTTCAGGGCCCCAAACTCAGGAAAGCAAAAGAAAATCCAACTGTTCTGCTGCTCAAAATCTGTAATATGAAGAGGGGTGGTTTTGCAGTGCTCTAGTTTTATGCAAATGATATTTATGCCCTGTGACACAGTTAGTCTTTGAAGTCATAAGTTAAACCTCTCCATATTCACATACAACAAAATAAATCATGACACATCCATCATTTCTACTAAAAGCAGAGGCTAATTTACATGTAGGAGATAGAGATGGTTTAGGACATCTGTTGTTTCAATCCATGAGGAGGTCCATCAATTATTTTTGTAATAAATAGCAAACTGAACATATATATCAAAACCCAAAAAAAGTCTAAAACCCATCTAACCCATTAAGAACACTGAAACTAGATGATCTTTAAGGTCCCTTCCAACCCAAAACATTCTATGATTCTATGATACACTGGAAAACACGAGCAACCAGGTCCTAAACTCAGCACTGGAAACCAAAATCATGAGGTCTGACTTTATCTATGTGACATCCAGTGAATGTGAACTCGGTACAAGGACACCACATCATGAGTACATGACACCACATCGCCCAGCAATAAGACAGTTAAAGTTGTTTGTGCTACAGTAAAACCGAGAGGCTCCTGCCAAGACTGACACCTCAGGAACGGGATGAATCGAGGTCTTGTGCCCTAAAAAAACCAACACAGAGTTAAAGAGTTCTGCTGTGGTCAATGGAAGCAAAGTCCATGGGGCATTGTCAGCAGCCCTGAATCATAGTCCCAACTGACCCTGCCCATAAATCCCACAACCTTCTGCTGCCCATTACTGGTCAGATAGGGAACATGATACTAACAGCATTTTGGTTTATAGTAAGGTTGGGAATGCAGGCATTTTCATGTCAAGAAATGGCAGCTGCAGGTAAGTGAGGGAGAAGTGCACAAGACAGAAGACTTCTTCAGAGGTTGGTTTTTATAATTTTTCCTTAGAGAAACCCATGTAAGAAAAAAAATACACCCTATTCAGCTATCTTCCATGAACACTACTAATTCCACTTAATCTGCCTGATACTTATAGGTGTCATGAAAAGATGGATCCTGATGCCACCACTAGATGTGTAGAAGAGCAGAACTTCATATAGCCATTCATGGTTCTTTTAGAATGACACTTCACTAAGTAATGTGCAGAAACACTCTTACTAATCTACTCAGTGATTAGAATCTACTCCAAAATGCAAAGCCCAAGTTAGCTATTTCAAATCCAAACACTTGTCTCTAGCAGCATGGTGGCATCTCAGCAAGAGCAAGAGCATGGCACCAAGAATGCACTAGTATTTAATGAATTATCAGGGCTGAATACACACAGGCACCCAAGAAAAAATTGACCACAGATAGTATTTTCTGCCTTGAGAGGCTATTTACACAGCCACCAGGGCCTTCCTTTTGGGAAAGCAGCAGAGATTGGCCTGAAATATGCTGAATTAGTACATCTGATGCTATTCAGCCAGTGCTCCTCCATCCTCCATTTTTTGGGTTAGTTCCTTCAACTCTGTAGGCAATCCCTGCTGCTGACAAGGCACCTCATGCTGTGGGAAATATTTGCACTCTATCACCTGCCTCTGCTGTCCTTTCACTACCAATGGTACTGACCCCAAGCACTCAGTAGGGCACACAACCTTTATTTCACAGAATCATAGAATGGTTTGGGTTGGAAGGAATCTTAAAGCTCATCTTGTTCCAAATCCCCTGCCATGGGCAAGGACATCTTCTACTAGACCAGATCACTCAGGGCCCCATCCAACCTGGCCTTAAACACTTCCAGGGATGGAGTGGCCATGACCTCTCTGGGCAACCTGTGGCAGTGCCTCACCATCCTCATAGTAAACAATTTCTTCCTAATATTTAATATAAACCCACTCTCTTTCAGTTTAAAGTCATTCCCCCTGGTTTTATCACTTTTCTTTCACCTTTTAAAGTGAATCTTTTTAGAAGACTGCTCCTCTGTTACTTGAAAGATATATGTGGGTGAAAGATAAGCTGTGATCCAAGGAAATCTTACTCTAAACTAAATTTAAATATTCAATTAAGTAGACTCTCAAGTTACTTCATCTTCACACTTCTACTGAAGATAAGCCAAATTCTCTTAAGCAATGTAATGTTCTGAGTGCTGCTTATTTTCCAAATTATGAGACAACAGGCTTACCTCCCTAATGAGCCAGGCTTTGATCTCCAGGAAAATGAAGCATTAGGAGTAATACCACATGTAAGATTACATTGTATTTAACTGTAGATGAGAGTAAATCCAGTGGAAAGCAGTGCACAACAAACTCTGGTATATGTACTGTCTGCTAGAGCTGCCCCGGTCAGGTCTTTCCAGGGAGAGTTTACTGAGAAACGAATGAAATACACAAACAGCTCAAAGAGGCAGATTTAGCCTCAGGTGACTGCAAAATGAGGGTCTACAAAAAGCTTGCAAGAGCCCAGAGAGATGGCAGCCACAAGACCTACCTGTGATGAAGGCATAGGCTGCCAGGATGTTGCTGAGCAGGGCCATCTCCGTGCTGACGCCCACAGGCTCCATGCTGCTGGTGAGCACCGGCAGTTGTGTCTCATCCACAGGAAGCAGGAGCGGGGTGTTGTCTAGAGGGTAGAAAGTGGCTGATCTTCCTTTCTTCTTCTCTGCTTTGAAACAGAAATGGAATGAGGAACGATGAACGTGGCCCAGCCCTATCCTGTCCTATCCCCACCAGGTCAGGATCTGTGTTCTGGAGCTGCTCAACAGCAAGCCACACAGATTTGCCCTAAACCTTCTCAAGCAGCTTCAGATGAACACATATCCTGCCTGCATCCAGGCATCATCTTCTCTCCCCCATCTCCTGCTTTTTCATGTCACCACTTAGACACTCCCATCTACTCTACGGCAAATACATAATCAGGATTCTTTTCTTTTATGTAAATCAAAGGAGCCTTTATCAACAGTGGGTTCAGCTAAGCTCCTAAGGAGGACTGGGAAACACAGGCAGAGCCAGCAACCCTCTACCAGTGCCACACTGTAGTGACCCATCCACACCTGGCAAACAGACGTGTTTTCCCTCCAGCCTTTGTGGGGAAGGGCAGACCTTGGTTTATGACTTCCCTCAGAAGCCTGCTCGTATTGTGTTTCACCCAGACACCATTTCCCCTTTGGAGAGGTGAGTGAACATGGGTTAATGATTTGATTTTATTTGTTGAAGACTGAAGCTAAGGAGGCAGCTCATTCCAGGAGGCTCAAAGAGACCCTTTCAGATCTTATCAGCTCACTGTTGAGGGCTCCCCTCACCTTGGTCTACAGGCAGACACCCCCTGCAGACAAAACACTAATTGTTTTCAACACAGGAAAAAGTCAGCGCAAAGGATGCAGCTCTGTCACCCATGTGAGTGTTTAACTACTGTTATTACAGATTTTCAGGCTCCCTTCCCTGGGTGTCTGAACAAAAGCAAGCATCACTCTGTAAAATCAGGCTCGCACCAGGCTCCCACTTATCTGCAGGTATTAAACTGAGGGAACTGCCAGTTCCATCTCCAGTTATGCCACCAGTATGATGCATGCAAAGACATTCTGTCAGCAGTCACGATGAGAGATGGTCTCTGTTCATTGGCTGCCTGATCTGTCTCCTCTCCCTGCAAACCCAGCAGCGTGAGACGTCACCTTCAGCTTCCTGCTGTGGGTGCCAGGATGCAGCAACAGAAAGTGAGGGGCGACAAAGAGAACAGGTAATACTGGATGGAGAGGGACTGAGTGCATGATCGTGCATGCTGTGATGCCAGCTCCTCATTTACCTCAGAGGAGAAGCAGTGGGGATGGTTGTACAGGCGTCACTGTAAGGGATCAGCCCCAAGGAATGAGGGTGCAGCTGCATTTCTGCCACTGAATAGCTGCATGGCCTCGGGAAAGCTACATGTTAAAGGCCACCAAGGTGTTAATGACTGGCCTTCAAGCAAAGTTTTTAAACGTGGGTGGCTCATATCCCAACGGGTAAAATATTCCAAGAACCTCTTGCTTTAGGAGAGGAGAGATGCCTGCGGATCACTTGTGCGAATGGAGGCAATGGGACACAGAAGATCAAGGGCAAAGTTTTAAAAAACTCTTTTAATTCAGATGTAGGCACTAACATGCATTCTAATCTTTCCTTTATTCTCCCTGTCTGGTAAATCTGTCTGTACTAGTGGTTGAACTTTTCCCTACCATTGTTCCAAAGAAATCCCCAGAAGCAGGGTAAATATTGCAATTCTGAAAACTGAAACTAAAACCTGGACACTTCAGAGCACTTCAAGTCACACCATGCATCTAAAAGTAGGCAATGAAATCCTGCTATTAGTTGAGGGATAACAGAAAGCCCTTCAGCTCTCCCTGTAGCAGACACTTAAAGCTTGATGGACTTGCTCATACATAGACATCTAAGACACCCCAGGGTCAGGAGGACATCCATGCAGAGATGACAGGCATGAGAAGGGGCATAGGTGAAACTCACCCTTCTAGAAGCCAAATAAACATCCCAGGTCATCACAAATGACACATTTATATGGGGATAACTGATCTTGCCTGAGATGTCTCCTTACTGAGGTCTGGCTCTGAACTGGTTAATCCCTTCACAATAAATGAAGGGCACCTCCAGGATATAATCTCTTATATATTTCATAGCCATATGTCAGATGGACACCCCTGCTGGGTATGAAGCATCCCTTGTAAACCACACTGTTCAACAATAGTGTTTTTAAGAGACAGAGGGATAACTCCTCTCAAGTGAGAAGAGCCCTTTTTTTTTTTTTAACTTCTAACTTGTCTAAAGAAGAGATGCAATCAAACCAGTTTTCAAATGAATACTCATCTGCACACACTAAACTCCAGCAAAGAACACCACAAAACCACAGAACTGGTTTTATTGTTGGCAGGATTGTGCAAGCACAGACATGGAAGACAGAAAATAACTGGACCTATGCAGGAGGAAAAAACAAACACACACAATTTCACAAGGGCCTTGTGTTGCTACACTATGTGGTTCCCTGGTCCTGCAATTCACTCCAGGACCATAATAGAAGACATCCCCTTTCCTCCTTGATAGCTTGGGTAACTTGTCTAATGCCTAATCAGCTCACTACTATTGGTTTTCTCTTCACCATTCTTAGCTGTTCCCAGTCACTTGAATGGTTTATCTGTGAATTTAAACCAAAGTTGAGTAAAATTATTTCAGCCAGCAGTAATTTGCCCAACACCACAGTATAAATATAGGAGACGTTATTCATGATACCAGGCTGACTTTAGCAAATAGTTTTAATAAGAGAAACAAAAAGGAAAATGTCCAAGTATTTTCTTTGTTATTTTTCAAACATTTTTTAGCTTCTAATTTCAAAATGACATCTTTGTTTGAGAAGTGGTGCATATTTTGAAAATGAATCAATAAACAATGTGAAAACTAAGTAAAAGGTGTCACTTCTGGAAGTGAAATGTTTAGATGAATGAAAATGAGTTCAGGATATCTTTTTTCTTGCTTAAAAGTATCTCCAGGATCACAATATTTGTTTAGGGCTAACTCAGAATTCTTTTCCTTGGCGATATTTCAGTGAAGGCTTCCAGAGGGACAAATCTGTTATTGCCAGTTCTTAATTGTTTGTGGATTGACTATTCAAGCTTTGGATTGACTTTGCCAGGAGTGTAGGCAGAGACAAGGTAGCTTTGCCCATACCCACCCTAGAGCTGAGTCTCTGGGAGCACAGGCTGGGAATTTCAGTAGTGTCCTAGACCATCCACTGCATGTTAGGAAACAATGCAAAACCACTGAGTAACCCAGTACATGCTCACCTGTGCTCTTCTCTTATTCATACACCACCTCTTCCTCCTACTCACCTACCCCTATAGATAGCTGAGACTTTGTTCATACCTCTTCACTTTGCATTTTATGAAAATAGCATCATATTTCAAAGCTCAGTTGAAAACTTCTCTGTCCCCTGTGAGGCAGATCTACTGTCTCTGCCCTCTGTTTGTTGTTTGTTTTTTTTTTACCACTGTATTAGACAGGTCTGCAAAGTATTTCTGTGATGAGTTTTGACATGCATGGCCACGACTGCTATTTCAGGAAACTCAGTGCTTCTTGAACAGTTCCACAGTTCACTTTAACCCGTCACTGATCACGCATCAAAGCTTCCCTTCCTGGCTATGACATGGATGGGGTTTGGGCACAGCAGAGAAATCCAGATAAGAGGGGATAGAAAGGAACAGTTATCACAACACAGTTAGGTTTGGGGTAATATCACAGTAGTCACAGCTACCTGGGAGAGCTCGTCCTATATTGGAAGGAGAGACATCAGAAAGGAACACACCGTCCCCTATAACATCAGGATCAAACACTCTTGGCTGCAATGGAAAATGTGGCTTCTGATATCCTTGGTAATTGATTGGTCTTGGCTGAGTTTCATGAAGAAGCTTCTTTGGAACTGAAAGAGAGGAGCAAGAAGAGCACAGTTGTTAGAGTGAGTTATTTCAGCAGGTCAGAACAAGAATTGTCACATTATACTACGGGCTCAGCTGATACTTAACTACACAGTGTGCAGCTCAAACAGAAATTCATCTTCCACTATGATGAATTCTCTCCAAGTGCCAGCCCAAAGACATTCAGTGAGAGAATGCTGGAAACTATAAAGTGATTAGGATACTGTTTATTTACAATTAAGCCTTGAGACTAGGCTAAGGATCAGATTCAGATGTTTTATTTAGACACACATCTTTGAAACTTAAATGCCTAGTAAGATAGACTTTGGCCTCAACCCTACGCTTCAGAGGACTTCAGATAGACACCTCTATTCCTACCATGACAGTGGGCTGGACAGGATGCCCTATAGCAGTGGGGGCTATAGGCTATGCCTGAAACACTGCCTTTCTCCAGCCATGAAGTTGCTAGCTCAAGACTGAACATCAAAGCTTTCTGTCCACTCCAGATTCACAAAATCAGACTCTAGAGGATGCTGTTCACATGAAAACATAAAGCTTAAATCACTATACTTTACCATGAAAGTAAAAAATCCCACCTGTAAGAAACGCTTCCCACCCTGTGAGATCCAAAATACACTGTTCCCCATTGGACTTTAGGGCTGTAAGTACACTGTGAAAGGCTCACTCCCACCATCCTGAGCAGGGTGAAGACTCAGCTAATCCCTACTGTTCTCTGTGTTTTGTCAGCCACAGCATTAGCAATATGCAGGCAAGATGATGAGTTAATATGTGACAGTTTTTTTGACATCTATGGTCTCTTCTTTGGACCAAAGCGTGCCTCAATAAGAAGAGTATTTTCTCCTCCTTGATGCTGCAAGGCCAGTTCTTCAGCTGTATATCCAAGTAAAGAAATCAAAGCTTGTGTAGCTATCTCCAGGTACAGCCACTGAAGGTGAACCCACACAGTAAGTTCACGAATTTCCCCCATAGGGACAAAGCACAGAGTCATTTACAGAGTTGAAACCAGTTCTCTGCCTCAGCCACAGCCAACACCCCAGGCTATTTCAGAGCAAAGTGCTTCTCCACACAAAGGGAAGAGACATGTATACAGGCCATTCTGTTCAGAAATCAGAGGAAGAGAGTGCATGAAAGACAAAAATAAATTAAAACTTCCAGAAGAGAAAGATTTATTTTCCCCGTCAGTGACCTATATACTAATATATACATAAAAGCAGACAACCAAGACTTAAGTGTGTTAAAGACACAGACTGTTAAGAACCAGGCACGATTTCAGTAGACCAACATGAACTACAAGAGAAGGTTTCTGGGATGTTCATCTCTCCTTTCCAAGTCTAACGGCACCAACCTCTCTCATTCCAAGCAGGCTGCCACCTCCCAGTGCCTCAGTTGCCCCATGGCTCCATTTGGGATCATACTATCTCTCATCTCCACTCCTCCCAGGGGCATTAAGAAGTATAATTAAAAATGCAAAGCATTCAGAGATACTTGGCAGAAGCATGAATGATTCTATGAAGGAGGGCTTGGAAAGTGTGCAACTCCAGAGCAGAAAGGAAATTCCTGCTTGCCCCCTGCAGCTAATCAGCTGCCAGACTGGAACAGGAGATTTAATCATGTCCATTAAATTTGCCTGCATCACCCACCACATTACTACTGGTGGGTGAAGTGATCCAACCACCTTGTTTACATTATGTTCGACTTACTGCCTTTGCTGAGGCAAAGAAAATTGTAACTAGATTTACAGACTGACCTCCTGTTTTAGGCTGCCAGGACATCAGTGCTGAAGTTCTTGTGTTATTAGTAGAGTCATGCTAGGTCAGGAAACAGCCAGAAAACCCCACAGCTTCTGAATATCAAAGAGCTGGCACAGTGGTTTCCAGTGAAACCTGAATTGGCAACTGTTGGAAGGCAGAAAAAGAAACACAAACCCTGGTAGGAACTAGACAGGAGCGAGGAGGATACCTGTGCCAGGGAAATATCAGAGAGTCTGGGGAGGAGGTGGGTAGAACAGAGGTTATCCTGCAATCCACAATCTGGGAGAACTGCAGTCTGGGTGCCTAATTTGAGGCACCCAAAGGGAGCCAGAGGGCACAGACCTCAGCACCCTCCAAAAGTAAAGTACCCTATTGCTGTATCTCAGACTGAGGACTTGAAAGGCATTTAAAAGACACAAGACAGTTTTGCTTTACACAGGTTTCATCCAAACTGCATCCCAGTATCCCACTGATAGACATCCAGTGAAGAAAATGAAGCAAAAGGGACATAGAATTTTTTTAGCAGGTTTTGATGAGTCTTTCATGTTTCAGACTTACTTTTTTTCATAAACATCTTTCACCTCCCAGCACTCATGACCATCTCCTGGGCACAACACAGGCTTGGTGGGCCTGAATCTTTCTTAGAAAATGTGACAGCACCAGACACTTAAACATTTGAGTCAAGCAGGGGAAAGAAACACCATCTTTTCTACATTTAATATCATCTAAGCGCACCCAGGGAATTGAGTTATGGCCTTTCCACCTTGGCATCTGTACCACCACCATTCAAATGCTACCCACAGGATGAGGGGATGAGTCAGGTAAAGCAAACATTGCTAAATCAGTTGGCAACTCATCAACAGCATCCCAAGGAAGAGTAGAAATGGACAAGTATTAAGGAGGAAGAATTCATAGAGACTATTTATTGTCACAGAGCCTTACTGGAGTAGGGCTGTGCTCTCATCTCTTTGGGTTAGCTGAGGAAGTAAGAAGACTATCAAGCCTTAAAACACAGGTGGTTGTGAGGACAGATTCCCAAAAGCAGGCGTGTGCTTAACATCCATGATTAGCACACCCTTTGGGACTTTCAAAAATCCTAAGAGGCGCTTGTCTTCACTTCAGCAACTACATCAGTTTAAAACCCTGGAAGCAACTTAGTGCAATACAGGATGTCTACAGCACATAACCTTGGACTTTTCCATTTCAAGGGATCATTTTTCTCTGTGGACTCCATATAAACATCTTGAGGACATTTTGCCAGGAAAGGCCCATCTTTGCAAAGAGTAAACAGAGAGATGGCATGCTGCAAGTCTGTTCTTTTTCTGGTTTATGTGATGCTCAGCCAATACACAGCTTTCTTTTGATTTAGAAAGACTGTGAAATGGAAAGCCTTTCTCAAGTGTAAAACACCTCACAATTTCCAGTTAGCTCCTGTGTAGCAGCCAACTCCACGAGAAAGGTTAAACATCTGGTTCCTTTGAAATGCCCTCCTTAAATTCTCCAGAGGGGAGCGCATCTGACACAAAGCATGGCATGATTTGAAGCAAGATGTCAAGAAAAGTTATTTATTATTAAAACCACAAGAAAAAAAAAAAGTACCTGGGATTTTAGTCTTATCTCAGTATTAAGTGCAGAAATCCTGGCAGGAAAGAGTTGGCACTTGGCCTGCTCCATTCAATCAAGCAGAGAAGTTAAAGCAACTCAGTCAGCAAAACGAGTGATGTATGTGGACAAGAGGGGAAGAAAGAGGGATTCAATCAAAGTGTTAACACACCTCATAGTCAGGAGCCCTGCACCTGAAAATGCACACGAGAAATGAGCAGGGATAATATGGAAGGGAAGAGTTGTTCTAGGGACCTCTGGGGACTTTCAGTCTCTCAGAGAGTAGCAGGCAGCCTTGAGATGTGGGTATTTATCCAAAAAATAAAATTCTACAGTAACTCATGCTGGGCAGCTGAACAGCACAGGCAGAAATGTAATTTTCCAATCCCAAGCCCTGCTCTGCCACCCACCCTGGGGTCCAGCTGAGGCATCACCACATGGACTTCACGTCAGCTGGGACTTGATCTGGAGAGCAAAGTGTCGCCATCACTGTGACACTCTGTGAAGGCACCTGCAGAAGTTGGTTCTAGGCTATAAATCTGCAAGGCAGCTTTTGGAACAGCAGGTTCCATTCCTCTGACATTACAGGTTTTCAGGTCCTTATATAATCCCTCAGTGTCTGCTTTAAAAGCAATCCTAGCTACCAGCTCCCACTGCTCATCTGTCTGAATCAACATCATGTTAGCAATAATTTATACCAGCTCCCAAACTAAGACCTGCAATACCCATTTGCAATGAATTAATGGTACCAATCTCACAACAAAACCTCTCCTCCACTGCCTTCTCCCCTCTTCTCCCCTCTCCCTCCCCCGGCAGGAATAAGGATAAAGGAAAATCAAGTGTGCTCTCATGGGCAGAGCAGATCCATCAGAGTCAGTACAAGCAACCAGCAGGGCAGTGTGAAAAGGCACATGCTGGTGCTGCTGACAGTATCCTTATTTGTACTTGGTGGAGACTCCTTCTCCTGGGATTTTCACACAAGCACTCTCTTGTGTGGCCAGAAAAACGAGGGCTGATGAAAAGAAAAAGTTACTGTGTCTGCAAACAGCAACATTCTGAATTACAGCGCTAAGAGAAGGAAAAGGCCAGCTGATACCTCCCCTCTGTTCATCAGGAGCACAGAATGATAGAATGGACTGGTTTGGAAGGAACCCTAAAAATGATCTAGTCCAACACCCCTGCCATGGGCAGCGACATCTTCCACTACATCAGATTGCTGCAGGCCCCATCCAACGTGTCCTTAAACACTTCCAGGGATGGGGCAGCTTCTCTGGGACAACCTGTTCCAGTGCCTCACCACCCTCACAGTAAAGAATTTCCTCCTAATATCAAATTTAAACATACTCTTTTTCAGTTTAAACCCATTCCCCCTTGTCCTATCACTACATGTCCTTGTAAACAGTTCCTCTCTAGATTTCTTGTAGGCCTCCTTCAGATATTAAAAGGCTGTAATAAGATAATTTGCTGTGTTTTCTACTATGTTAATCTATCTAGTTTTAAACACTCCAGTTCTGGGTGTTCAACCAATTGCCACAGAATATTATTTTCAGAGAAGTATTGCTCTTTCTGAGGAATTCTTTTCAAATATGTTGCTGAGTGTTTTAATTTAAGGACATATATTATTTCCATAA